CCCAACCCAACCAGTGTTTTGTTATTTTTTTCATAAGTGAGAAACTACCCTTCTCCATACAAATACTATGCTTTTACCTGCGGCAGGGTTCAAACTCGTGACATGCACCGTTTTTGTCATTTTAAAGGTAGTACTATTACTCTAGGTCATCTCTCCTCACACTATCCAACAAACTGCCTAAACATGAGCAAATCCAGCAATCTCTGAAAGAGAAAAAGGAAGAATTCCTGACATATTTGTAACATATGCTCCTCCCATTATCCATATCAGAAGTATCATTTTGATCTAAAATGAGCTTCCCTCTATATGAAAGTGTTACTAGGGATGGCAATAGGGCGGTGCGGGTGCGGGGCGGGGCAGGTTGAAACTGATTGTTTCAAAATCTAATGCGGAGCGGTTGCGTTGTGGGTTTGCAGGTTTAGTACTAACATTTAACGGGCAGAATGAAGAATAGAGTGTTAGTACTAAATCACTATAGACCATATAAAATAAGGCAAGCAATAAATATAGAGTGACCGGAGAATTTGACTATGCAATTATTACTGTTAAATATACAAGATATTTATCTATACGTGCCAAGGACATTGTCCACTACTGTTATATCATATTTCACTTAAAATATCAGCAAACGTTGAGTTTACATATTATATTTATAAACTAGTTATAAAAAAAAGTTATGATGCATATTTGTTATACGGAAATTTATCAAGTATAACTTAATACGTAAATTTAGGTATACGATATGCTGACATTATGCTTTTCAAATCATTTATTTTCCAGTTTTTATGCTTTTCAGTTATTTAGTTCTTATGCATTTCAGTTTATTTATTTTCTATTATAATCTCTGAAATTAAAAATATAATATTTGGATCCATATGAGGGATTTAAGAGGCTGAAAAAAATGAAATATTAAACTTGTATTTTTTAGCAAAAATAACAAAATGGAAAAAAAGAAGAAGAAGTTGTGGGGCAGGGCAGGGCGGGACGGGTTAAAATTTTGTGGGTTAAGCACCAACCCATTCCC